CCTCGACTACCTTTGCCAAGGCGATCTCGCGTTAGCGATAAAATGAGAAGTCCGAACCAAGCAATTTCGAATTAAAATCCACGAGCAATAAAGTAGCATCAAAAAAATAGACTAAAATAAGTTCAGCTGAGACCGAGTTATAACAAAACGATTTTTCATACAATTTAAAGTTGGCAGAAACCGACATGAAATCATCAAAAATCCAAGTAAAAGACAGCAACGAAAAACAAACAACCAAGTCCTGAATTGCCTATCATTCTTTATAACGATTCCCGAAAATTATCCTCACACACCCGGATATTCATCATAAGAGGGAATCTTATTCGCCCTTTTGAAAGTAGTCTTGGACCGTTTACATATAATTTTCCGAATCGTCCACGATTTTGGGCCTTCCTGGGCGATACATTTTTGGGGGTGGGTGCGGGTGCTTATTTGGGGAAGCAATTACTCCAACTATGTCCTTTGGCCATCTTTGCTCTAGTTTGTACGATTAATACTTTGCAGAGTTTGTAGGTTGAGATTCTCCAAAGCTGCTCTTGATGAAGGAGCTTGTACAGCTCAGGTAGCAACAGCTTGAAGATGTTAGTTCGCAAGCTAGCTTCATCCTGATGGCAGCATGGCCCGCACGTAGTTTAGAAAAGATCCTTACAGTACGGCACCGCGCTGCGTGAGGCAAGAGCTGAGCCTGCAGAACGTGCTGAGGTGACTGATGAGTCCTGGGCTCGAAGCGGGGAGCGGTGAGGAGCGGTGGGGAATCTGTGAGGCGTTGCTTTGCTGTTATGATAGCAGAGATGCCCGTCTCGTGGTGATGTTGAGATGCAGACTTTTTGGTACTTCCTATAGATCCTAGAGCATATGGGCCCATGAAGGACACTCGAATCCACAGCCCTCAGCCCCACTGTCCTCATCAACGCTTGACCAATCGTCGCATGAATCTTCGAACTCTTCAGCAGCCTCATCAGGGTATGGAAAGCCCCTGGTTATGAACACCTAGCTGCACCGAGAGGATGGGGCGCAGTCTCCTCACTCCCGACAAGCCAGCAGTCACAGAGCCCGCAGCTTAGTACTCGTTGTAAGGCCAGCTATTATCATATGACTCCCTTCAACTCGCGACTTCACAGTGATGGCGATACCTGCAGCTCATAGACCTTCACGTATACGCCTTTTCAACCCCTGAATGCATTAAGAGCTGTGGACTCCTCTTTCGGCTTGTCTGCCTCACAGCGCTCCGAGAAAGCTTCAGTCCGGTTTCCCACTGTTGTCTCCTGCCGAGCAACAACTAGTCATTCTGGTTCTGCACGCTCTCGAACTTATGCTTGGGTGTGCAGCACGACAGGTGCCAGTGGAGTTGGAGTTTTGGGCCAGGTTGGCCTCCAGGTGCGCATAGGGTTCAGTGGTGCGCTGTTAGGGTTAGCATGCGCCACCAATTAACGGAAAGCCCCCCAAGCCAATGCCTCCTAATGCCTGTAGCAGGAAAAACATATGCGTTGGAAGGCCCAGCTGTCCATCGAATAGAGCCCTGAGTCGACGGAGTATACCTGCAGAGGTCAGAGTTTAGGGTTGACACTAGTAAGCACCAAATGGAGTCGGTCAGCCCATCACAATGTCGAGCTGGTGCTGTAGCAGGATGACAAGCATACAGCCACGGCAAGGTACCGCCTCGTTCCTCTCGACCTTGGCTTTGATCAACTGCGAGTCGATCGGGGAGCCATTCTTTCGCTCTTTCTTATCCTGCCGACATCTAGCCCTGATTTTAGAAAGGTCGGTTGGTATGTTTGAGAAAGCTTTTGACATCTCTGAGCATTGCATCTCTCTTGCAAATGGGGCAACCAGTGCGATGAGAGTCAGCCACAGCCGTACTCAACTACGATGCTTGCTTGAAACGCTTCTGGTCCTTCTTTTCCTGGAGAGCGTGGGCTGTGAAAAGTTGGGTGGGGCAACGTCAGCCGCCCGAGTCAAAAACAAAACTCAGCATGGTCTGGCCTGGCCGCGGGCATGCCCAGCTCGGGTCTTCTTGCTCTCTTTCGAGGACTTCTCCTGCATGAGCTGAAAGCCGCCGGGGACCCCTCCCCCTTTCATGCTTTTTGCAGGTGTGCTCACGGAATCTCAAGGGACAAGGCCACAAGGTGCCAAGTTATTTAGCTTGCTGCTCCTCTGGGGTTACTACACTTTGCTTGTCAACCGTTCCCTCCTCGGATGGCTTTGAGTTCGACGTGTCTTTGGAGGCTTTTGTGACCTGCACATGGGCTGTTTACAGCAGCTACCTGATTCCTGAACAACTGACAAGAGGGCAGGGCTCAAAGCGATGACCCTTTCTAGAGACTCACGCGCCGCAAAGGTGAAAGTGCAACTGCCCCTTGCTGGGTTCATGGTGAAGTTAATTACTCTGGACATAACCTCACAAACCTGATCCCGCAGCTCAACGCATGCTCACCTTCACAGCAGTTTACGCCTGCATTGCATGGCAGATGGATTCCGACAAGATTACTCTGCAAGGACTTGAACACCCCGCGTGCCTCCGAATCCAGCGTTTTGGTCCTAGTTCCGGTGAGGTGAGCCATGCGGGCAGAGTCCTCCGAGCACAGATCCGTCTGCCACAGGCTGCGTATCACATAGACGGGAGGAAGATCTGGGGTCTGATCGGGTTGATGGACTTCGCCTTGCTTGTCAGAAGAAATCCCCCTACGAGCTTGAGACGTTGTGCCTCTTGACACGAAAAACGTCTGCATTTCATTGATTTCATGCGCATCAGCAAAATCTCTAGCATCCGTCCTCGCTACTTGATTCACTGCCCACCGATGGCCGTCGCTCCTTCGAATATGATTCAAAGGGCCGTTCTGTCTGATGCCATGCTTGTGGTGAGAAGCATCCTGGTGGTACCCGCAGACATCTGTCATATTCTGTCATGTTTGGCCAAGACAAATCCACGAGCGATGGGTGCTCAAGCCCCAATAATGCACCATGCTGTATTACATTGCATCATGAAACAAAGAGGTGCAGGGTCTCTAGATGATTTCCTCGCCTCTTCGGGGGCGGGCCTTGCATCCTCCTTCTTGGCAGCTGCATCCTCCTTAGTCACCGGCGCTTACCTCAAAAGTCGTGCCATCGAAAGCCCTCCAGAGAAACGCAGGGTTGGAACCCTCGGCTCGTCCCTCTGCATTGGAGAATATTGTGGTCTAATAATCGTGAACATGGTATGAATGCAACATGTTTCCTGAAGGCTGCAGCCTAGCAGTATTGAAAGCCAAAGTCCCACAATCCGCAGATATCCGCAGGCAGGCCACCTTCTTGGAGTCTTGACGTTTAGCCGGGTCTTTGGCCTTGCGTTTTCCAGCAATTCCCTGTGGTTGAGCCCTAAACCCACAGACTGTGAGCACACGAGTTCATGGACGGATAAGGAGATCTGTGCAAGCGCGCGGCATCTCATTTCGCTTGAGGACGCATTTCTTTGCCAGGATGTTGAGACGATAATCAGTCTTGCAAGCTAATCTACTGCCGGTTAATGCGGCTCAAGACCAGCTGCAAACAGGCAAACAGGCGACTGGCCCAAGAGTTTTTCAAACCATGAGCTGTTGCAAAATCAGTGAACTTCAGCGCAGGTAGACGACCCGATCAAGCCGCAGATAGCAATTTCCAGTAATGCTTCGGAAACTGCATCGTGGTGCCGCACATGTTCTACTTTGATAATCCACAGGAGTCCACAGAGCACGCCAAGGCAGGGATGCTTCCAGCAGCTTGGCCTTGTCACCTTCCTTCTTGCTCTTTTCTTTTGACCTAGCTTCGGCCCTCAGCACAAGGCATGTTGTTGGACATTGGGAGCTCCTGTTGTAGGCCCTGTAGCACTTGGGCACCCTATGCTGAGGTCTGCGGCTCCTTGCGCTTGCGGAAGTCGATCAACTTTTGCCGCCTTTCCTGCAAACTGTTGCCGAATGTGGACTTCAGATCAGATCAGGCGTAGAAGTCGAGCCTAAAGCACCATTACGGCTGTCTACTTGGCTGTGCTACTCCTAGCAGGTCCTAGCATCTCTCGACATCTCATTGGGCAAGTCCAGCCTCCTCCTTCCGCTGCATTTCTGCATATGCGGCGCCTGAGAACAAGCAGGAAAACGCTCTACGAATTCCTCGCGCCTCGGGAGCACCATCTCTGCAAAGGTACCGAGCATTTAATGAGCTCATCCAAGACACGCCCATACAAGCCAAGCGCTTGAGCCCCCTGCGATTCGCAGCATCATCGAAGGGATCGCCCAAAGCCAGATTCTTGGCATTCTGCTCCTACACGGACTTGGAAGGTGCAAGTAGGTAGGCATGATCACCGCTGGCAAGCAAGAAGATGCACCTTTTTGCGAGACTTCCACCTATGTGCTCTCAGCAGGGTTGATGGCTTTCGTTCTGTGTCTTGAACAGGGGCAACGAGGTCCACTCCAGGGGCGGACCTGGCAAGACCTGCGTACGAGCACCTAAAGACCAAAAACATTCTGATCGGCCTCGCATGTTGGGCCTGACCATCCTCTGCAACCCTGAGAAGAGAGGTGCTGATACAGGTAGGAAGGGAAAATCGCAATACACTCTACCGCAGATTCAAACGGGTGGTAAAAAGTGCCTTCGGCACTGCTCTGGGAGAGCTCCACTTGGACAGGCTCTGTGCCCAATACCTACCAATAATCAACTTATCGAATTGTCATGCAATGCAGATTTTGAGCAACCCTCTTGGCGGGCCGATACGCCGCTCTTGCCGGCGTGGCTGCTGGAGTCGTGTGAAACAAAATACGTACCGATTCTCACCGGAGATTTGAAAACAAATGGCATTTGTGCCAGGGCAAGCCGCATTGCGGGGAGAAAGCTCTCATGCTTTTGGTGTCATCCTTCCACGTACCGCTTACATGCAGACTGTCCACAGCTACTCCCGTCGCACAGCATTGCCTCTGAACAAGGATTCGCGAAAATTTGTGACAAATTTGGTAGGTCTGACTAGGCCTTGCCTAAAGTCTGACACTTCTGATTCAGGGTGCTTCATCTTCAGAGCTGCTTGATGCATCATCAGCTCCTTCTTCCTCCGGAGCGCGAAAGTTGCCGAGGTCAGCCATCTTCTGCAGAAATGTCTGCTTGGATATCGAGCCTCCGCCCTCAGTCCTCCAGAGACTTAAGACCAAGAAAATGCATAAGACCATGCACTTTAAAGGCTCACAAAACATCCAGAGCCTATAACCCTGCCGTGCCTCATGACTGCACAAATGTGGTCCGCCACCTCCCAAGGCACCACTGCACGCAGAGTGGACGGATTGAGGATGCCCATGCCCTCCAAGCATGTCACGGACTCACGGACTTGGGTTAGGGCAAGACTTGATTCACGCTTACTCCACCTATACTGTACTTCGAAGACTTTATCAAGACAGGAACGCAGTTCCCCAACAGACCCTCACTCTTTCAGGCTTTGGGTGGAGCTGGCCAGGCTGATTAAAGGCCGGAAACAGATGCAAACAACCGCAGAATGACGGGCCCAAACAGGCTAAGCTTGCCTCCATGATCATTGCATCGACTGCCTCGTTCCAAAGACGCCAAGTTGCTTGAGGCACGGGGCGTCTGAGCACCTTGCTGGTAGCTCTCTGGATCTTTGCAGGCTTCGTGGCTGAGAACAGGCCTTCCATCTTTGTGAGCCTCTCCTCCTCCCTTGCAACGTGCGTTTTGAGGAGGTCACACACCACCTGATCCATGGCTACGTTACCAGGCTTGAAACGATATTGCTGCGGGCACCTAGCGGCCACGAGCTCTTCTTTGGTCTTTCGGCCCCTGGTCTCTGCACGTTGTTGAGAATCCACATACTCCATGAGAATCACCTGTCGCAGAAATTCTGGAAGAGGCGGCCGCGCCATCCATTCGCGATAAAATTCTAGCATCCCGCGGCTGTGACTAACCTCACCCCTGAGCACCTGTAGCTCATGCAGCTCAGAAACCCAGCTCTCAAACATGTTTAGGTGGCGAGGAGAAGCTCTGGGGCATAGCTTCTTGAGGAAAAGGGTCCATGTAATTTTGGTACCCTTCATGCGAAGGGTCTCCAAGTCATCCAGGGCCTGGCGCAGCTTTCCAATCCAGAACTCCGGGTCAATGCTGGTGCCCACCGCCTTCTCAGCCTCGGCGTAGGTCAGCCCGAAGTCACGCGCTTCTTCACAATGGAGGAAGAGGTCGCGGATAATCTGCATGTGGCTTCGACGCAGCAAGCTGGACTCGAGAAGCACGGCAGGCATAGTAGGTAGCTCAACCGCACCTCATGGTCAGCAATGGGACAAGGAGCTACCAGGACCCACTGGTACGTTGGCGAACCGCCAGCATCCTACTGTCAATGCACAAGTCGATATTCAACTAATTAGCTGAGTTTAAAGGCGCGTTCATGCCCACGAACGCGACTACTGCAGAATTGCGGAAAGTAAAGCCTGCGCACGAGAGGGCTTCTCCTTGCGTTTAATTTAGCGTAAGCTAGTAAGCAACGATACCAATTTCATGGCACGACCAAGGTGTAGACAAACCCATTCACTACTCACTCCTTTGCTCTGGCTTAGCTTCCGTACTGCGTCAAAGCACGGGTGTGGGAGAAGCGCAGCGTCCGGCCATCTTCGAACAGATCCGGGTCATCATCCAGCCCAGGCTTTGAAAAACGATCCAGAAAAAGTGCAAAGGGCGCTGACAACGGATAGCCGTTTATTCCGAGGAGCCAATCCTCAAGAATTGCACTTGGCACGGGGCCCTCTTCCGACCTTCCGGATGCTATCCTGGAGTAGAGCTGTTGGGCTAAATGCTCTCGCATTCTGGCTTCCTTCGCTGTGTTTGCAAGGTTGAAGACACAGGCGATGCCATGGAACAGCGAGCACATCATCGTTGTAAACTCTGCCAAATCGAAGCTTTGACTGTCGTCCTCATCAAAGACGCCTAAGAGGAAGCGGACCTTTTGCTTCTTAGAAACGGTGTTGGAAAGCAAGACGGAAACGGTTAAGAAGGCTGGCATGGACACTCGGACCTTCTGATAGTCGGCGGCAGTCCTTGTGTGCTGGACCTTTACATGCTGCAGGGGGTCAAAGACCTGGACCAAGTCCAGGACCTTGGGCATGCTCATCGCGGAGAGCTCCTGCAATTGGTAGGCATCAACCAAGGTCGGAGCCTGCCCGGGAACCCATTTGCCTAAACTCTGCCAGCGATTGTAGACTTCCACCCAGTGATGCAGGGTGCGCGTCGACACCGACCTACAAATGGGCGACGGCGTGCCGACCAGCACGCGGGCCCAGGAGCTCTGCCACCAGTCGAGCTGTGGATCTTCTTGGCTGATGGCATCCACAACCTCTTCCCAGGAGTCTTCTGCAAACGACAACCGCTTACTACTGAGCCTAACTTCACCCTTGGTGTCCGTAAGATCCACGGTCTTCGCCTTCGCCTTCCTCATAGATGGCAGGGAAGGTAGACCGGTGCTGACGGGTAGAGACTTGGTTTTGCAGACGGCGGTCGGGCGTGGCGAGCACTGCGTTGACAGGGTTCTGCTTGTGCGAGTGCTCTCGTTGCTCAACACGCGCGGCCGTGGGGAGGAGCAGGGGCTGTCTGAGTCGTCCCACGGATCAACTGCTGCCGGACCCAGGAAGTCCTCCTCTTGGAAGCTGGCAATCGTGTTTTGGCGGTCATCTGCCTGGATGCTGATAGCTGGCCTTAGCTTCTTGAGCCTGCCCGAATAAGTAGCTGCACGAGTGCGAGGGGAGGTGGGACTGCCAGTTTCTTCTGGCGAGAGTGGGACGAAACTGAACGCATCATGTCCGGCTTTCTTTTGTCGGCTTCCCCTACATGAGGAGACTGGGCAGGACACGACGCCCCGGTCGGAGTCCACACCCGTGGCAGCCATGGCTCGAAAGTGGGTGTTGACCCCTGCTTGCGCCAAAACTGACAAGCCGCTGAAACATCGGAGTCCAGACTTCATACAAGGACCTGCACGTCTGAAGCTTCAAACTCCCATCTTCGTGTTACAACATAGGCGACCAGCATTGCTCCAAACCTGCGTTCTCCCGCTATCGGTGCAGGAAATGTACAAACAGTTTGGGCATCATTGTCACACCTAAGAGACCTATAATCTAGAAGAACATTTCCACGCTGTCCATGTTAGCTTTGTGTCAATTTGTTCGGCAACTGCAGGGCCATCTTAAACATTTGCTTACTGTACGAAAAGCAAATCCCCATGTGAGCAGCTGCATAAATCACTTATAAAGAGTTAAATAAAATATCAAGGGTATCGTTTTTGGGGGGGCCTCTCGCTTTACAGGGTTTTGGCACACTGCGGTGTTTATACATGCTTTTGGATTGGATCCTTATACGTCGCCCATTTGGATGTAACTATCGTGTTTTACTACTGTAGGGTTTTGTTCATGTCGGGACGTTTTTATCTCCGCCTGACCTGGGCTCCTACACACAAAATTCATTAAGGCGGTCGCCATACATCTTGCTTATGGCTGGCCTTGGCGAGCCTGCCGGTCGGATCGCACAGCGGCTCACGCATGCCTTGACAGGTAGGCATCTGAGCATAACAGCATAAACAGGGAAAACGCATGTCTTCTGTTCCTTCGCCTTCAACTACACAAGCAGGCCTTTGAAAGTCACTGGCGGCGATCATGGAGCCCTGCAATCCCTCCATCGGTATCACTGTGGCAGACAGCTGCGTTAAACAGAAAAATGCGCCCCCAACCATCCAAAGAACCCTGAGTACCTGTGCTTGTTGCATTTGACAAGGCACTCTCGATATCGCTGACAATCTGCTTTGTGAGGGCTTTGTTCACCTGTCTGTAGAAAAAGAAGAGGCGCTGAATTCCGAAGCAGCGGTCATGGCAAGTCCACCACAAATACAATCACATCGTATATCAGCACACTGAGACTTGAAATTCAGGATTACCACGTTAAAGCAGACCGAAAAAACGGGCAAACGGTTTGTGACCCAGCGGCCTTCATGGCCTTCAACCTGGGCGTATGTCAAAACGCATGCAAGTCAGGAACCTAAAGCGACAAAAGGGAGTAACCTCCAGGATCTGTAAGATTCCAGCTGCTTCTCTACGCACTTCATCATGAGCTCGAAAACTTTCACCGTCACACCCAGACCTGCAAAGGGAAGCAGAATAAATCGCCCTTCTGGTGCATAATGTCAAAATGCTCGTAAATTCGGCCATACGTCCTCAGCTGAGACGACACTTCGAGGGCCTGTATGAGCGAGGAAGAGGTCCGGCCCTCTGTAGGCCTCCGCGGCGGGCAAACAAAGGAAAGCGGCCCCCTCACATTTCAAACAGAGGCCTGAGCACTCAAGGTGTGGCATCGCAAAGAAGAATGCAAGTACAGTCAGATGTCCTGCTTCACAACATAGACGTCAGTGTTGTTCTAGATCCACGTCGCACCCCTCACAAACTGAATTTTGCTTTGACGAGACCTTCGCGGAAGCGCTACAGTGCAAGTTCCGGACATCTAGCAATCGTTTTGCCACCGGACTGAAGCTTGTCGCCGGGATATCTAGCTATGTATGAACACTTCCACAGCATTAGCTAGCGTCTGGCCTCATGCAGTCTGAACGGACCTCTCGGGTTGATGTTTTCACGTCTCAGGATGTCAGACTGATACACCAAAGGTGACTTTCACGCACATGGCACGCGCAGCGGACAAAATGAACAACAAAAAGGATGCAGACACATCCCGCAGGTACCTGAGCATGTTCTACTGGCCATGGCCTTGCCGCCCCAGAGGCCGCCGAGGTAGTCCACAGTCCTCTTCCTTTGCTCAAAGGTGATGGGTGCCCAACTGACAGGGGTTGGCATCATGCTTTCTGCTTCGCGCCTACTGAGTTCGCACCCATTTCTTGCATAGATGCTCAAAACAGCAAACCCGTACCCGTATGCGTCACAATGCCTTCCAAGAGGCTTTAAGTGGACAAGGTTTCTGTTCTCGAAGAACTTTTTCATGTCCTTGTCCTGCTTGTTGGTAAAATGGTAAAACTTTCAAGCAGCGTTTTTTCTTGGCCGATTGCAGCATGGTGTGCTGCTGGCCACTTTTAACGAACCGCGCAGCATAATCTTAAGAAAAGTCCCCGGATTCCTGGACACTGCAGGCTCCTTCAAACGCCTTGCAAAGCTATGGAGTCCCTTCCATATATGCCGCCCTCAACCGATAGACTCTCTCTTTTTGATGTAATTACACTCAGAGAAAGAACTTGGTATATACTCATGACCATGAGGCACCCGTGCTAGCTGCACCTCTCCAGGAATAGGAGCTGCACTAGCTGCGGTGCTCTTCACCAAAAGCTGATGTTTGGGTAGCATGCAGGCTGTTCGAGAACTGGGTCTATCTCATTCGATGACACAGCGTGCAGCAATGCCCTTCAGAGAAGCTGTCTCTTGAAGCGGCACTTCCTATCCTAACATTGACTACCAGCTCTTGTTTATGCTATACCCAACTTTTTCCGGACTTGTCCGTCGCCATCATGTTGTAGAAGCCATCGACGAACTTTTCCAGCGCCTCCTTCGGGCATATTCTGGCAAGGACATGCAAAGGCTAAGCGTCAGGCTGATACTGACCGACATATCTCACCTTTCTTCCAACTAAATGTTTGACCTTTCTGGCATGGCAGGCACGCTCAGTTCCCGGGCGCGCCTGGCCCCCAAGCTTCTCGAAAATGCTATCTGGCCCGCCTCGCAAAACTGCAAGCTGTCTTCAAACGGAAGTGCACATGTCACTGGCCTTGCTTGGCTGTAGGCATCTAGGACCCACAACACTAATCCGGAGGAATCTGAAACCTGCCTGGATGCTCCAAGTAGTGGAGCCCGACATTGGCAATGGCTTGTGGCATTGCGTGAATGTCCAGAAATGGCTATGGGCTATGGGAAAATTTGCTTCAGGTGTGGAGTTTGTGCACTTGATGCTTGCAAAGCGGTGGCTTTAGCACCGGTGTTAAACACGCCGTGCTTGCCACTGTGTTTGGTGATTCTGCGGCGGTCTTAGGGAATAAGGGGTGCAAGCGGTTTTTAGGGCTGCTGGCCATACTGAGACGGCGGCCTTGCCCGAAATGTGCGCGTTTTGGATGCCGCCACCTTCTGCAATCTGATTCACGAGTTTTGAGCCACAACGCCCATCCAAAGCTTCGAGCATCATGACCCTGCATATTAGGCCTGACTGTCGACAGTCCACGAATCTGGGTAACTCTGCAAAGTTGAAGAGCCTGACTACAAATAAAAACACTGCGAGGAATGCAATTGAAGGAAAACCTTGGAAAAATCTTCTGCAAGCTAACAGCCGGCGCTGCACCATCAAACGTGAGATGAGTCTAGAGCCATGAGCCTGGGAGCTGCCGATTTGCCTTGCAACCGAGTGGCCCTCACAGTGCAAAAATGAGGCAGGCTAAGCTAGGCTAAGCATTGTGAAGCTAGGCTACTCGGCCAGGCAGTCTATTTTGGAAGCGCCGAGCTACCTTGACGGCAGCTCCGCAAACATGAGACTTCAACATCTAATGGAACCACTGAGCACGAGCTTGGGGCTTAATTAGGGAGATTGTCCATACTTAAGCTAAGACACGTACTTCAACTAAGACACCGGCTGTGCCACGTTTGTTAGATCAGCTTTCCGTGTCTAGCCTTAGCCGTGCAGTAATTACCTATCTACCAACAGTGCTCAGCTGGCTGGGTGCTCAGTATGTAATGATGCTGCAACTTGTCATCCCTCAAATGGGAACTAGTTGCGGGCTGAGCCCCTCAGCAGAAGCAGCGCTGCAACCGCCAGCGAAAGGAAGCCCCTGGCTCCAAGATCTGCGTTGCTTTTGCTGAAGCATTTGAAGTATCCAAACTCTCCCAGCCTCCTATACTGTCGGAAGTCTTCAAGCACTGCGCCACCAGGTGCATTGCTTGAATGCGAGCGCTGAGCAGAACACCAGAGCTCAATATTCTGAAGCCAAGATAAGCCAAGAACACCCCAGACGAACAAGCACCTCAAGTCTTGTCTCGAATGGCAAAAGACTACGCATATGCTCGACTTGACAAACTTCTGATGACCTGTGACGGTTAGGAGGCTGGTGCCGCCGGTCAAGCTGACGTGTCAACTAGCTGTGAAAGACCCTTGTGTGCTACGCGAAGCCCCGACCTTCGCGCGCCATTGCAATCGATGTCACAACCTGTGCTCACGCTCTTGCTGACGCAGTTTCTTGAAGGATGAATGTTGTGGCGCGCTGGGCGTTTGGTCGATAGACGGCTTGTCCGCACGCACACGGATGAAGAAGTTTATGTGTATGTGCACAGTTTTAAGGCTTAAGCATACATGAAATGTGTACATTGGCTGAAGTTCCTTGTCCAATCCATTGCAAAAGCCACCAATAATCTAGGGGTCCGATCTCTTGGATGGGGCCGGGGTTGCACAAAGTGAATAAGGAGCTATCGTTTTACTCGCGTGTTAATTATATACTTCAGCTGAATGAGGTACATACACCCAATGCTACTTAAAGATTGTGTGGGTGATGATGCGGACGGTCTACTTGGATTTGGTTTTTCTGCGAGTGCCAGCTACTCACGGGAGGCATGCTCAACTTCACTTGTTTGTGAGAGCCCAAATGATTGCTCACATTAACTCGAATAAGTCCAGACTTGCATTGACCTTGTTCGGACCGCTCCCGGTGCAAATTATCGTATTGTCATGATCTTCCTTCAATATCCAAGTGTTATTCAACGGGGTAAGAGAATGGCTGCCCAGCCGCCTGGAAGAGAAGCCCGTGCTGCTTCGCATGAAGTTTTCCTCTGCAGGGATTGATTCTTCAAAAAAATAGTGGAAACGGGACAGGTAAAACTGCTTATGCTAAAGGAAACGGAGATCTTCACAAAACACTCCGAAAGAGGTGGAGATACCTGCATTTAATTTGCCCTGGAGAAACTTCTAAAACAGCGTCTTGAGGCACGTTTTTGGAAAACCAGCGCTATCGGAAGCCCTACATCACCCAACCCACAGGGCATGGCGCTGCGAAGCGAAGCAGGCGTTGGTGACCTTCCAGCTCGTAGTAAAACTACAGCACCTATTGAACCATGACACTCTTGACGGAAACCGTGTCTAGGTTACAAGGGCATGGATTGAGCACACTTGCTTGGTTTGCATGTCTACTGCACTGCGCATTTGCCGTGCAATCCGGATTCGCTGCCTTAGAGCCAGCTACCAACACAAATAATGGCAGATTGGATGCCTCAACCTTTCCCGACAAGTGACAAGCAACGTCAATCACTCCCAGTGATGTAGACGCCCCACATCCAGACAGCAGGCCTCTACTTCAGGGCAATTCGTACCTCGGTCACCATCCGCAAGAAATCGCCGGATTTCTGAACAGCTGTGTATTGTGGAAGAAGATCGTAAAATTTTGCCCTACTGCAGAAGCCTGAGGGCTTTTTCCAAAGCAACTGTGACGCGAGCATGGCATCATCTCAAAAAATGCACAGCGACGAGGGTGCAATGATCTCAGTGCTCACAGCGCACACACATCCATGCCATCACTGGGTGCTCAGTAAAGCTTTTCTGGAGTTTATGTTTAGGAGGACTCTTTACTGTTCCATTCTCACTTTCTGCCAACCAAGCGCCAAGACTTATTGCCACTGGACAGCTGAAGGTTGGTGATGTCCGCTCTAGTGCTGGCCATGATTTAGTGTCCAGCCCCCCGACTCAGAAACCAGAAAGCTCTGACATTCTCGGCCAGGCATATAGCAAATCTGACCGAGATGCAAGACTTGCGTTCAGCTGGGCGAGATGGATTGCTGCAGTACATGTGACACTTCCAATCCTCGGTGTGAAAGTGCAAAGCACCAGCTTGTTTCCTAGCGCTGCACATCAGGCACTCTTGTGAGTACAAGGGAGAACTCTTGGAGACCGAAAACGAAGAACTTAGAACATGAATGGAATGTCACCTGGATCTGCTGTGCTGTGCGATCCTCTTCCTTTGAAGCTTAAGTTTAGGTGCTTCATGGCAAGGGTCATCGCAGCTCCAACCAGTGAAATTCCAGATGCCTTCGGCGCCCCGAGCGGGGCATCTGGCTGCCTGCATTGCGGCACACTGTGCTGCGCTCAGCTGGTACACGAGGAATGCTTAAATCTGCAGCATGCCCTTCATAGCTAGCAACACGCTTTCCATCACAGCTTGAGCCTTCTTGCCTCACGTGTTCCATGCCTATAGTGGATTTCGCCAGATCCAAACGGTACAGTCAGCTGAACCCAGCGCCTAAATCTACATGTTGGCAGCGGCAGGTTGTTTGCCAAAAAGCGTGAGAAGCGGACATGTTGAAGACGCTACACACCAGACAAGTCCACATTGCGGGGCCTTGTTCTGATCGAACAGGAACCCTTCCTCGGGTGCACTGTTTTGGGATCTGAGGATGGCAAACTGCCGTGTTTGGGTTCGGAGGTGTTGAGATTTTTGGGCTGGGGCAGCACAGGCCCGAGGCCCCTGGAAACCCACTTGAGACCTGTCAACAAGACAACTGAAACCCGTCATGACCGTCATGCTCTTCAGGCCGCGCAGCTCCGCAGAACGCACTAAGGCCAAGGGAGGCCAAGGAGCCCCAGGGGACTCGCACTGTGCAATGCCGGCTGTCTCATCCACCGTGCAGTCTTGGTACACCTCCAACCAAGCAGAAGCCACTTGTGGCGCAAAACGAGGTTTTTGGATTTGTTGTTGCGGTATGGATGAAGCTTTGACGATTTGAGCCTTGTTGCCTGTAAATGCCGGGTAGAGGCAATTTAAGTCCAGTGTAAGTCATTCCGATTCAAGGATCCAGATTTGTCTCTGCGTTTTTGTCATTTCTAAAGATCCTGATCCTGTGCTCCCATATCCTGATCTCACTTGATGTGGGGATTCCATTCTTGAGAACCGAGGTTTGGATCTGCAAAGGGCCTAATTAGTGAGTGTTTGTCTGTTCTTGACCTCATGGCCCACCGTCCATCCCCATTATGTCAGTCTTCTGAACTTCGAAATTGAAGCAAGCAGTTGCAAGGGACTGGATCTTTCACTTCTGCGGAGAAAAGAGACTTTATTTCCCTCTCAAGAATAAAGGTTTGGTTCTACAAAAGGCCCAATCTGTGAGTTGTTCTGATTTCTGTGATATTTATCTACTGGGCAAAAGAAGGAACTCTTGCTAGAGAGTCACTTTATGAAGAAACCATTAACCTCTAGTCATAAAACCTTCTCCCCCGGCAATAACAAATGTACCCAGGTCGTCTTTACCATTGCAATGTAAAGTTACTGAACAAGCTTTATAGGTCCCTGTTAAAGTAGCATGATAACACTACCCTTCTTCTTCGTTGTGAATTCGAGTTTGTGTCTAGGAACTAATGAATTTAGATCAATAATTGGAATTATGCGCTTTCTTCGTATGCATTAAAGAAGTACATGCTTAAATGGCATTCTGCGGCATTCTTTTTCGTCACGTTCTTTACAACAAAGTGCCAATCAACAATGAACAAAATGACCTACGAACTGGAAGAAATCCTCAGTTCCATCAGTTGTACTTCCAAGTCTTCAAGTTAGATTCATTGAGACAAGCCTGACCTTCAACAACAAGTTGCTAGAAACCCAAGCAATGGATTCTACTTCTGAACCTTTACCTGACGTACATTCTTTTATATGAGTTCATGTAGAAAAAGGCGTGTCTGAGTAAGACGCGCTAAGACTTAAAAGAAATTCAAAGCCCAACTAGATGTTGCGGGGTCTCCCCGGAAGCCAAAAATGCAACGTACCAAGATGTGCAGTTCCATGTACTGAGGAAATGCTTGGGCTTCAGGAATTCGGAACCAAGACCAACCCACCCCCTCAACCCAAAGAAAACACATAGATGATCCATGGTTCCCCCACAATCGTATGGGTCCTCCCCCACTGTGGAGCTGTGGTGCTGGAACCCTTCCGTGGTAGTGCCAGCTTACGATAGAGCCTAAGTAGAGTTATAGCCCCAGGTATAATCAAACTGCTTGAGCCTTGTAAGAGGTAAGTTCTTGGTCTAACGAGGCAAAGTGCTCGCATGTGGGCAGATTGGAACATGCGTTGTAGTCCTCCTTTCAGCCCCATGTGACTCTTGGCACTTTTGAGATGCGACGAAAAAATCCGACTGAGCAGAATGAAAGATGAGATTATGATGACGGAAAGTTTCTACTCCAAATAGTTCATTAAAGGTCACATGGTTTTCCCGAACGCGCATAGCAAAGGCTATGCTTTCAACATGGGAAGGGAAGCAAAAAATAAAATCGAAGCTTGCGCTTTAACATGGAAAAGGAACTAGCTAACGGAATCTGGGTATGGGCTCTGGAGCCTGACATTTAGAATAGAAGTTACGGTCCGCCGCTTAGATGAACATGACAGAGTGGAGGCTACAAGGTGTTCAGACGAGTTTCTTCACATGTTCAACCTTCATTTAACAGATTTGCATGGACGTAAAGGATTTATTGTAAGTCCTCGAAACTGAAGATTGAAGATTTAAAGAACCTTTTCTGAGAATCTTCAATTTTCAGTTCGGAGTTTCTGAAATAACCGTTCAATCCATTTATTGAAGCCTCTGATTTTGAAATTGAAGATTCAAAGAACACTCTTCCGAGAATCTTCACTCTTCGGTTTGGAGGATCTAAACTAAATCCGTTACATCCACTTAAATCCTGTGTTTCGGAAATTCAAGATTGAAAGAAAGCTTTTCTGAGAATCTTCAATCTTCA